TGTGATATTACTTCAAATTCTATAATTTAAACTTTATACCCTCTATTGCAATTATTGAGTTAGAATCTAAATAATGGTAGAATTTGCATGAATGCAACTACAAACGTAAATTTTTATGTTAGAGGTAACAAACTTATAAAATTTAAAAGGAGACCAATAATGATGAAACATAGTGGGACATGTGGGGTCATAACCCCACCCCCAAAATTTTGAAAATTTAATTTTAGACCATTAAACTTTAAAAAAAATATTTTTCCCTACAAAATTTTTATAAATTCATATTAAGCTTTAGTTTTTTTTTTTAAATAATCTTAATTAAATTTCTCCCATAATTTTTAAAAATTCTCATTAAGTCTCTCAAATTTTAAAAAATTTTAGTTAGACCCATTTTTTTTTAAATATAAACTGAGTACGAACCAAATTACATTAGTGGTTAAAGGAATAATTGTTATTCCTAGAAGTCACTGGTTTGAGCATGGAGCATTAGCTTCTGGCGACTATAGCATGGGTGATTGAGCGTTCATTGTAAAATGATTGAAAGTATTTAGAATATATATTACTTTTTTATCACCTTAGCTTAATAAAAAAATGTAAACTGAACTCTTTACAATTTTTGAAAAATTTGATTTAAACCTCTAATTTTTTAAAGTTTTAAGTTAACCCCCAAACTCAATCACAAGTTCTTCCACTCGAGACAAATTTATAAAATTTTAGGAGGTACACTAACTAAATTTTAATAGAAAATACAAAAAAATACTTAAAATATATTAAAAATTTAAAATTATTAATGGGGACGACCGCCCTACCCTCCCCGTAGTCCATTCCTACATGAGTGGCTTATGAATGAATGATTGTTTAGCTGGTTTATATGACAAAGGGGTTGACAAGCCAAATCGGAGGCATTGTAAGATGATTTCCGAGTACATCGTTGATTAGGCTTGCTGCAAAAGTCGAGGTAATGGGTTTTCATAACCTCTTTAGCCATTTTTTGCTGAAGAAACTACAAGGGTTGACTTGAATCCAAATCACAAAGACATGAGATGACCATGCTTTTGAGAGAGCTTCTAAATATAAATATATGAGGGACCGAGTCATTAAATAAGAGATGGAGGGTCGGGGAAGAAGCTTAAAATTGTTTTTTTTCTTCTTCTAATTTTTAGGAGAACTAAGAGGAAGAAGAAATACCAGAAACTGTATTGTTGCATTGTAGTGTGTCTTTGGAGGAACCCTTTGAATAAAAAGCACAACCTCGTGATATTTTCTAAATGGCCGTGCCTAACAGTAATCTTGTATTTAATATCTCTTGATGAAGAAAAGAAGGGCATAATGAGAGACTATATTTGTCGATTAATTTTGCTTTCGAAGTCGAGGATGTTAAAATATTCAAAAATCTCTAAAACGCAACCGACACTAACAAAGAAGAAAAATGTTATAACAGTGGTTACAAAGAGATAACCTAACTTGATGATTTAGAACGCCAAACAACTCAGAAAACCCATACGATTCTTTGTGCCTCACAGCCAAGCCTTCCTTTAATGATCACATTGATAACCGCTCCGGCTATCAAACTTATTAAACACGCCACCGATTCAATGCACACCAATATAACAAGGAACAAACAACACAAAAGAGAGAAGAAAATTAGGTGGTTTGTAGGCCTTAAGATTATTCAGCCTTAGGCTATTTATATAGCCTAGGTTTTCTATGAAACTTACACTCAAGTTTAGTCAAACCACCCAAAACAGAAAAAGGTTAAGCAAACCACCCAAAATCATAACAGTTGACAACCAAAGGAAATAACCCCCATAATTCTTAATATTTCCCCGCTTTCTCACCCCCAAAGAGGAAAACTAAGATTTTTGAAGTTGTAAACCCCGCAGAGACACCACATTGAGCTTTTTTCGCAGGTCTTGAAACCTTGATGTAACAAGCGGCTTGGTTAACACATCTACAATTTGAGATTGAGTAGGAACGCAATTGAAAAACAACTGTTGATTCATCACCTGGAACAAAATGAACTTCTAAGTTCGCATGCTTGACTTTCGCATTGCTGCCATAGCCACAATGCTAGTATTGTCACATCATATAATCGGAGCTTGATTCAATTCAACATTAATATCAACAAGCACAACCTTAATTGTAACACCCCAAAATAACACTAAATCAAAATCATATAATTTGGAAAATTTTGACATAAATTCCTAAATTGAGTATAGTGACCACATTGAAAATTTGAAAACTTTAGAGTTGATTTCGTGAACCCTATAAAGATAGATGACCAACCTCATAATTAAATCATTTTACTTTAAATCAAATCCTTTTCGCCCAATTATAACACCGTACGACGCCTTCTTCCTCATTTTTTTTTCATAAACCCTAACAGTTGTCGCTCTTTATTCCCGTCGTTACAGCGTCATCCGATCACCAAGTTAAGTTCTCGATCTTCATTTAGAACTACGCCGTTATTGGCGTCATATCGGGGTTGTGCTCGTGCGAAATCGGTAAGTTTTATCTCGTAATAACGTTCTGTCGTCACCGTGCTTGGCCGTTCTTGGTCGTGATAATATCTGGTTTTCACCGAGGAAGGCTCAGACGGCCTGTGTCGTGACTGATCGTCGCTGATTGGTCATGAATAACACCCTCGTTAGTTCTGTTTCGGGTTACCGATTGCTGCCAACTCTTGATGAAGTCATCGCCGACCGTTTAAAACCGTAGCAAGGTCATCCGTGAGTTTGCCGACCTTGGAATTGCTGCTAGTGTGTTTTCTTCGTCGGCAGTCCTACTTTTCCATAATGGCAGCATTCGTATTCGAACGAAACTCCATTGTCGGTTTTCCGATTGGAACCGAAAAAATGTTTCTGTCATCGTAAAATTATTTCTTAAATTCTAAAATTTAGTGTCAAAACCTGAAGTCAAGCATCGTGATTTTTGCAGAAAATTCTAAACCGGGAACTGAGTTATCGTCTCTGCCACCGTTACTCGCTAACTTCGAACTGACCCAAGTTGCTTGTGTTGACCGTGAGTGTTAACTGATAATTTTAGTACATGAGTTTCATAATAAATTTGAGAATCATTTATTATTTAAATTATTTGTCGTATGTATTGATTCGGATCGACTTATTACTTGAGCTGACCGTGTAGAGGTTATTTCCGTCGTTAACTATCTATCGAGGTGTGTCTTTATCCGGTATTATATTATGTTGTGTTGATTGATTATTTGTTTGACTGAAAAATTAATTGAAGCATGACTGTATTGTGGTATTATTGAATTAATTATAATTTAGATAAGTATGTTTATTAGAAGTTTGATTTCGAGCATGATGAATTTTGTGATATTGTTGTATATGATATAATTCAGAAATGTATATTATGTGAAATAAGTTGATATGTCGGACTGAAAATTTATGAGATGCATTCGGATTACTTGTATATGTAATTATTACATTTGGACAAATCAAAATCCCGATATATGACATTTGAGTATATGTTATTCGGATATGTGTTATTTGGATCGAATTAGATATCGGATATGTATGTCATTTGCATATCATATTGGGTCGAATTTTGATAGAGTAAGCTCAATACATTCACTAGACGGGATTAATGATACTTTTTTTTGAATTCAGTGGCTTTTGCCTTTGTGACAGACCTCACTTTATATGGTGTGTTCGGATGGTATTACAAAGAGTATGCATGAGCATTTGTATAACATTCAAATATTTGATTATCATTGTTTGATTCGGGCTATGAATAAATTAGTTACTTCGTTTTATGTCATAACTTGTGTTTGTTTGCTCTTTAGAGACACACTAAGCTTAATAGCTTACACTTCCATAGTTTTATTCTTTTAGATACTTAGATTTAGATGAACCGGTACTTGAAGAGTTTCGTTACTTATTTCAGACCTACTATTATTTACGGTGTGAACTTATTCGATATTTTCCTTCATTGGATATTTATTATTTATTTTTGAATTATTTTCATTACTTTTATTTTGAACATCGAACATTATAATTATTTTTGAAACTGTTTACACATCTTATTGAATATTTATTATTTACGAGGGATTTTTCTTAAATAATTGTTTTAATAAATTATAATTTGAATTTGAATGTTTCTTTAATTGTATTATAAATTTTTAAGTTTTGAATCAAACATGGTTTTCGTGAGAGACAAGTTTCATTTAGGCTTTCTAGATTCTATTTAATTTTTTTTAGGTCGAGTTTAGGGGTTAATTAACCCATAACACTTCGGATGTGGCATCAGTAAGACTCCTATATTCTGCCTCTACTGTTGAATCAGAAACAAATCGTTGTTTCCTAGCATTCTATGATAGCAAATGATTCCCAAGATAGACACACTGACCAGATGTTGATCGCAAATCGTTGTTTCCTAGCATTCTATGATAGCAAATGATTCCCAGGATAGACACACTGACCAGATGTTGATCGCCTGTCATCAGGATCACTTCCCAATCTGCATTTGAAACGTTGTGATGAGGTTGTCCTTGATGCGCAACAAACCAAATACCATAGTCTAAAGTTCATTTGAGATAGCGTATGATACGCTTCACTGCAGACTAGTGAGCTTCACGTGGTTGTTACATTGATTGGGCAACCTTATGCACAGAAAACGATAAGTCGGGCTGAGCACCAATAGCGTTGTGATACTGTTGAGCATCAACTGGAGCTTCAGCATTCTCTTTTCAGCTTCGGTGTGATGAGAATCGTCTTGTCAACAGGTTTAGCAGTATGCATATTGAACTTGCCTAATAATTCCTCAATATACTTCTTTTGACTAAGAAACAACCCAGCAATTGTATAAATCGCCTCAATTCTTAAAAAATAGTGAATCAGACCAAGATCCTTTAATGAAAACATGTCATTAAGTTGATGTATAACATGTGTAACATGTTTTTTCCGAGGAACCTGTCACAAGTATATCATCAACATATAAAACAACATATGTAACAACATTATTAGTAACATAAATGTATAATGAACTATTAGCATGCTAAGAGAAAAACCCCAAGGTACATAAGAAAACATGTAGTTTATTGAACCAACTTCATGGAGCTTGTCGAAGACCATACAACGCTTTTGAAGCTTACACACAAGTTGTTCACCATTAGGATCAACATGTTCAAACCCTTCCGATTGTTTCATATAGACTTCTTCCTGCAAGTCTCTTTTGAGAAAACCGTTGTTCACTTCAACTTGCCTAACCTGTCACCCACGAGAAGTAGCATCAGACAGCAACACACTTATAGTAAAGAAATTAACTACTGGACTGAACGTGTCTACAAAATCACACCCTGGAACCCTGGAACTTGAGAAAAACCTTTTGCCACAAGTCTCGCTTTAAATCGATCAACAGAACCATTAGACTTATATTTGATCTGAAACAGCCATTTGCAACTGATAGCCTTCTGATCGAAGGGTAACGTCACCAATTTCCTTGTGTTATTATCAAGTAACATCATCTCAGACTCCACAGCAACTCACCAATGCTTATGCTCTAAAGCATCCTGCATAGTGATAGGAGTTTCATGAAACAAGGTATTGTAGATTTTAGATTTGAAAATCCCTGCCTTACTACGTATGAGCATGCAGTGAGTATTGTTGGCCTAATATTTTACAACAATTGTCCCTTCAATAGGCACAACATTGGATTGAATGTTGGGTTCCCCAGTGATCATCTCATCATTTTGAGCACTTTGTTGTTGATTCGTATAGGGCACTAGAGGACTACTTTGCACATCTTTACGCTACCCAGTACCCGAAGCCACCTGTTCCCCCTGTCTTGCTGTTTACTGCTCAATGTTTATACTAGTAGATTCTGTCCAAGTTTCCATCGTGACACATCTTCCATCACCATCAGATGCAACACTAATTGCACCACTGCTAAAATCTTGACCAGAACCATGATGCAACTTGTGGAGACCATCATCATTAAGCATATCACACTCACCATATTGCTGATTTGAATTGCTAGCTTCAACAGGAAAAGGTATAGCCCAAGTCTTTTGCTCACCCGACTTTTTGGTCCCTGTATGAACTAAAGAACAAGGAAAAATGTTTTCATCAAACGTAACATGCCCGAGAGATATAGACACGACCCGTGCTATCAAGACATTGATACCCGTGATTTTTTTGAGAGTATCCATGGAAAATGCAAGGTTTAAATCGAAACTCAAACTTGTGACGTAGGGTCGTAAGCAGGGAAAGCACTAACACCCAAAAACACGAAGAAATTGATAGTCCGAAACCTTACCATACACCTTTTGAAATGAGGATACTCCCTCAGTTACCTTAGTAAGTAGCCTGTTAATCAAATAGACTGCTGTCAAAACAACATATGACCAATATTTAAAAGGAACCAAAGATTGAGCAAGAACTGTAAGAGCAATATCTATAATATGATAGTGACTGCGTTCGACAACATTGTTCTGCTGAGATGTATGACACGAAACTCTATGCTTGACACTTGCAGCTGCAAGACAATGTTCTAAACCTCGAAATTCACCCCTCCATCAGTTTGCAAGGCAACAATAGTAGTGTTGAATTGATTTTTAACAAGAGCATGGAGCAGATTAAATGTTTGAGTGACTTTAAATTTATTACGCAGTAGGTAAACCCAAACACTTCTACTGTATATATATCAACAAACAACACATAATATTGCTAACCATTTGATTTAATAGAAGCTGGTCCCCAGACATCCGCCTCAATAAGTTCAAACAAAAGAGTATAGACAGTATCAGATTTAATGAAAGACAGTCTATGATTTTTTCCCAATTGACATGCAACACAAGACTCAGTACTATCACCATTATTCTTAATAGAAAGTAAATAATACAAAGTGTCCAAGGCAGGATGCCCCAAACGTCGATGCCACAGCCAGTATTTTTCACTAGACTTGGTCGTCCTTACACATTGGATGAAGCATCAACATGATTAAGAAGACCATTATTAGAACTGTGACTGCTTTCAAAGCAGTATAAACGTTCCTCTAGTTTACCCTCTAGCAGAATCACACTAGTCTCTTCATTCTTCACAAAACACTTATCGGGGTGAAATTCAATATAAGCATTGTTATCTCAAGTAAATATAGTAACCAACAGTAAATTCCGTGTTATTTGAGGAACACACAAAACACTTTCCAATTTAAAGTCACATGTTCTAGCAGGTAGAATTGTATTACAAACATGTGAAATGTGCATAGTGGAACCATAACCAAGGTAGACCTTGCCTTACCTGAATAAGGTCGACTAGATGCACCACCACCCTTCTAATACGTGACATGGTGTGTCACACCAGAGTCGGGATACCATTTATCTGCTACAGACAAAAAACCTTTAGCTATGAGCGAATTTACTTGAGCTGTATCAATCGTAGTGTCTTCATCAACAACATTGAGACCTGCAGGAGAGCTCACAAAAGGATTATCGCATGACACAACTAAATTAGAAGCATATTTACAAGCATTAGCATGTATTTCATTGTTATTCTTGGTCTGTCGAGAAGAAACCCCCTTGTAATTTTGATTGAATCGATGCCAACAACGATCTACCAAGTGCCTTAACTTCCCACACAGCTGACATTGGTGTCGCGGTCTACCTTTATTCTGATTACCATTATGATTTTTGGCTTGAAATTCATTTGACCGATTGTAATTCTGATATCGGTCACTACCACCTCTAGAATTTCCATAGTGCCTCGTCATATTAATATTAGCTGTCGTCCTTAAAAGATCACTAATACATGATTCAGCATCAATAAGCACCGAGGTCACCCTATCAAAAGTATCAGGTTCTCGACTAACCGTTATAGCAGCAACAAAAGGCTCAAAATCACACGGAAGACCGTTTAACAAGGTTACAATCTGATCGATTTCTGTGACAGGGCTACCACTTGTTGCAAGCAAGTCACATATTTCTTTAATTTACGTAGAGAATTCACGCACAAACAACTCACCTTTCTTGAGAGATCCGAGTCTTCCGTGCAAGCTCATAATCTTGGTGTTAGACAACTTTGAATACATCTTGAGAACAGTACTCCAAATACGAGCAGAGGTGTGCGGCACCTACAAGCTGAGGTAAGATCGAATGACTAATAGTCGAGAGAAACCAAGACGCTAATGAGTTGTCATGCTTTTTATGACAACGATATGTCGGATTTACCATTAACTCACTAGTATTTTCCACAAACGTTTGCGGCGGAATTGGTAAGGACTCATCCAGAAGATGTTCTAATCCATGGCCTTGAATCATGAGTAAAACTTGCTTTTCCACAAGAGGAAATTATTATCATCAAGATTAACATTAATAAACTTGTTTGCAAACGGAGTTTCCAACATACGATTATTCGCCGAGGTTCCAACGACCTCACCAGAGGCGATCTAAACAGAAACAAACGACTCAGGCATAGCGAACAAAGGAAACAAATACAGAAGAATAAGAAAAAAGAACAACTCCAATTACCATGGGCGAAAGGACCAAAAGACTACCGATACCATGTTAAAATATTCAGAAATATCTAAAACACAGCCAACACTAACAAAGAAGAAGAATGCTACAACAATTGTTACAAAGAGATAACCTGACTTGATGATTTGGAACACCAAACAACTCAGCATACCTATACGATTCTTTGTGCCTCACAGCCAAGCCTTCCTTTAATGCTCACACTGATAACAGCTCCAGCTGTCATACTAAGTGTTTTGAAAATCGGACCAGATTGATCGGTTCAACTGGGAATCGCTGTCTAGTCCGATTTAATCTACATCGGTTGAACCGCTATTAGTGAATCGGCCGGAACTGCTAAACCGTTCGAACCGGACCAGCTAAAAATCGAAAAAAATCGCCAATTTTGTTTTTTATTTTTAAAAAATTAAACCAAACAACGTCGTTTGTTAAACGAGCCAAGTCGAACTCGAGTATTGTTGAGCTCGACTCGAACTTGAAAACTTTAAAAGTAAGCTCAACTCGACTCAAACTTACGAGCTAAAAATTATCAAGTTCAACTTGAACTTGAAATATAATATTGAAACTTAAACTCGAAAAGGTTTGAACTCAAAAAAAATTTAGAATCACGATTGAAGCCTAAACTTCGAGCTTTATTGAAGTGAAAGAATAGTTCACTCAATGCTCACCAAAATGCTCTATGATTTTGAATGTTAAATTACCTCTATTATTTATAGAAGTTAGTTGAGATGCTCTTCTATGTTTCTTAGCCATGTGAGATTGTTTTATTATCATATTTTTACTCTTTTAGACTTTTGGGATGCTCTTCTATGTTTCTTGACCATGTGAGATTGTTTAAAAAAAAATTAAATCAAACAATATCATTTTGTTATGATTTTTTTAGCCTCAAATTTAATTTTTAATTATAGTTATATAATTATATTTATTATTTAATATATTTTACCTTAAATATTATGTTGTAGTTAATTTGAATCATTTTGTTTCACTTGATTTTATGGTTTTTAACTTATATATGTTATGACTTGCTTTGAATATGACTTGTGATATAAAAATTTATTTTTTATTAAATATCATTTTGTTTCTCTTTTAGACTTTTGGGATGCTCTTCTATGTTTCTTGACCATGTGAGATTTTTTTTAAAAAAAAAATTAAATCAAACAATATCATTTTGTTATGATTTTTTTAGCCTCAAATTTAATTTTTAATTATAGTTATATAATTATATTTATTATTTAATATATTTTACCTTAAATATTATGTTGTAGTTAATTTGAATCATTTTGTTTCACTTGATTTTATGGTTTTTAACTTATATATGTTATGACTTGCTTTGAATATGACTTGTGATATAAAAATTTATTTTTTATTAAATATTTTTGTTATTTTTATTTAATTTTTTAAATAATTATGACGTCGTCCGATTCTTTCAACCGATCGAACCGATTCAACCGATTAAACTAATAAACCGATAACATAGCTGGTTCGTAACCGGTCCAGTTCTGAAAACCATAGTCATACTTATTAAGCACGCCACCGATTCAATACAAGGAACAAACAATGCAAAAGAGAAGAAAATTAGGTGGTTTGTAGGCCTTAAGATTATTCAGCCTTAGCCTTGGTAGGTTATTTATATAGCCTAAGTTTTTCTATGGAACTAACACTCAAGTTTAATCCAAATATGAAAAATCGGGCTCAACAGAAAATCCACCAAAACAGAAAAAGGTTAAACAAACCACCCCAAGCCATAATAGTTGGCAACCAAAGGAAATAACCTCCATACTTCTTAATAGAGGAGGCAAAATTAATGGCTCCATGAGCCGGCCATGGCTGGCATATGGTATCTTGAGATTAGTAGGTAGCGAATGAAAATTCTCCAGACATGATTTTGGACAATGCCTAAAGCCTAATATAATTGATCGTTGGTACTTGTTGGACAACATGGATGGTTTTTGAAGCAAATGGGCTTGCACAAAGCCTAACATAATCGGGAAATGTTCTTCTAAATGGGCATAATCAGGAAAGGTGTTGAAAGTTTACATTTCTATTGATTAGGCCCACTTCTACAGAGTTAAATAAAAAGTAGTCCGGGAAAGGTGGAGAGTAGCTACCCGTTGTACCTAAAATGCTCCCACGGTCGATATTTGCTGAAATAAATTATCCAACAAGGTGGTTCCTTGTTTGATTAAGACGCTTGTTTTGCTTGTGAATCAGCCCTCCTCCAACTCTGATTAATCACACGCTACCAAAACACTGTTAGATCCAAGAAAATGAAAGGGAAGAAAATGTTGTTTCACTACTAAAAAAATTGTTGTTAAATTGGTTGGTGTAATTTATGTATTCATTTCGACAAGGATTGGAGACCATGCACTTTACACAAAACCTTTGAACTAAACTCTTCCCAAATATGACTGCCCCAAGGACCTGGAACTCCCTCCTTTTCTTTCATTATATGTAGCTCAATGTACTAATATAAGTTAAAAATACAAATTAAATTTAAACAATGAATGGTGATTTGGTTTTGTTTGGTATAAACGATGATGACATGTAAATAAGCATTCCATAAAATAAAGGGAGAAATTCTAAAAGGGGCAAATGCAAAGCATGTAGTACTTAACGACATGCACTTTGACAGCTTTAGATTAGACAAGAATAAGCTTACAGAAATTGGTTGGGAAATTTTGTAATGAAAGATTCTTTTCTTTGTAGTTTTATTGGCTCAAGTTAAGCATCAATGAAGAAGAATGATTACACTAGTAAGTAAGACTTGATTAATCATTAAGCAACCAACGTTATAAAAATATTATCATTATCTCTTTCAGGTTATCCCACTTGCGGTATCCAAACAGGACTGAACTGGCCCAGGTGAGCATGTGCTTATACGTGTCGTCTAGCCACATTTGCCACCTGTAAATAAAAAATATCTGTCTACTCGTTGGATAAATATAAGGATAAATAACCTATTTGGACACCCCATCTATTACTTAGTTTTTGTTTTAGTCGTCTACCTATTACTTAGTTTTATTTTGGTCACCTAACCATTATTTTTTCATAATCATACCTAATGTTATATTTTTGTTATGTTTTGGTCAATTGTTATTAAAAATAGCTTAAGAGTCACTTTTTCCTCTGTTGTAGTAGACTCAATTTATCATTTTCGCCCCTATCGTATTTTCACATCAATTTAACCCTTCAAGTTGTTTAATTGCATCATTCTATACCTTATTCTTATCTTTAAACCCTAAATTATAAACTCTAGGTTAGGGTTTAGGGTTTAGATATTATGAATTATGGGTTAGGTTTTAGTGTTTATAATTTAGGGTTTTAAGTTAGAGGTATGATATAAAAAAATACAATTGAGTAATTTCGAGAGCTAAATGGACGAGAAAATACGATAGGAGAGAAAGTGATAAATCAAGTCTACTATAGGAGTAAAAGTTACCATTTTACCTTAAAAAATCAAAAATAAAATTGACATATCATCATAAAATAATACCAGATAAATATTTAAAAATAAAAAAAAATACCACATTTTAGAGGAGACCACTGCCTGTTAGAGGAGATTCCCACCCTATCTTCTAACCTTCGATTCGTTTTTGATTTTTCCACATTTTACCTCTCCCACTATATATTTTTCCTGAGTTACATTAACGAAGTAATACCATAAAATTAAATGATTTGAGGATTGTGTGGAATAAATTTTCACCGCTAAACATGGGTAATAAATTGTTCAAGACTAGTAGTATGGAACGCCTAATGAGTATATGGTTGCAACTTCTCGAGAATCTCGTGACAACTGAGAAAGAACTGGATAAACATATGTATATATTTATTATATATACTTAGTAAGGAGTACCTTCTCTTTCAGAGTGGTAGCTCTTTTGATTCGGTTAGAAAGATGCCAAACAATGGACCTGACCTGACATTATGATAAAGCGACGGATTCCAACGTAAAGAACAATTTTACATTTAAAGATTTGGTTTGAGGTCCGTCTGTCTTTTCTCTCCCTCTTTTGTTTACAATTTCCAACAGCGCACCACACACCAAATATCTCGCCTGTCTTGTCTCTCACAGTCACAGTCGCAGTCGCTTGAGTTATTACTTAAAAGTGAAGGAGTGAGAAGAGAGAAAAAGAACAGATTAAGCGAGAAAAAAAAGGGAGAATAGAAACATGCGAAAATCCACTTCCTGTTTCAAAATCATCACTTGCGGCGGCGATACTGCTGAAACAGACGACGTTGTTCATGTTCCTCAGGCTGAGGTATATATGTGTGTATACATCCTTTACGTATTTACATTGCCGTTTCTCTTTTTGTTGTTTTGCGATGGATTAGGATTCCATTCTACCTTCTGTTTCGACTTGCACTTGATGTTTTGGTTACTTTAGCTAATGTTTGAGTTTAAAACAGCTAGTTCACTTCATTATGCCCTCGATGGGATTCCATAGTTAGTAGCGCTGTACCAGTTTCTATTAAATATGGTGATTACAAGTTGAATAAAGCAGTACTTTCTGGGTAGAATTTACAATCGATAGTATCTCAATTCATATTAAGTAGTGCCATTGCTTTTTTTAACATTCTTTCTTTTCTCCATGATTCCATCTCCTTTTGAGCTGAATTAGGCTTTTCAAATTTCTTTCCAGAGTAAGACAACAAATGACAAAAAGGGTTGGAGCTTTCGAAAAAGATCTGATCGGCATCAGGTGCTTAGCAACACTGTTATACAGGAAGCAACTTCGGGACTTGAGCAAAGTCCGGAATTTGCCGGTTTCAATTTTCAACAGCCTGATGCATCCATTGCTCCTGAGAAAACTTCATCTATTCAGTACAGTGAAGAAAAACATCAGGTGAAGACACAAAATGAGTACATTGAAGTAGAATCTAAGAGTGTAGCACCAAATAAGTGCACTGAAGAAAAATCTCAGTTGCTTACACCTATGGCATACACTGAAGAAAAATCTCAGTTGTTGACCGAAGAGGACTGTAAAATGCCTGAATCTGTTCCCATCACCACAAGCGAAGCTGAGGATGATGCCAACCTTGATGAATCTGTTGTTATTATCATGCAGACTGCTGTTAGAGAGTAATTGGTGTCGTAACCGGTTTTCGTTCGGACACGAATTTTTTTTACTTGACGGAAAAAATGATGTGAATAAATGATTTTTAAAATGTTTAAGGAGTCGCCATCGGCCTTTTGGATCAGGTAGATCGAATACCTAAAAATTATCTTTTAAAAGAGTTTTTAAGAAAACATCAGTTAAAAGATAAATTGGTCTGCGTTTTAACCAAAAATTCGTTCTTTTTAATAATAAAAGGGATTCGTGGTCGATTATGTTTAGGGAAAGATTAACACCCACACAACGCTCAAAATTGATACTCATTAATTATAAATTGTCTCTATTATTAAAAATTCAAAAATATATTTAATTTATAATCTTGTTATTTTACATTTATTAATATAACTATATTTTTAAATAAGATATTTATTTATTTAGAAATATCAGAAAAATGTTTTTAGGTGCTTTAAGACAGTTCTTTTCTTATTATTAAAAAATAAATAAATATTAATAAAACATTTATCTAAAAAATAATAAAAATATATTAATATATATAATTGATAAAAAAAATATTTATTTAAAAATATCAGAAAATGGACATCCAGTTACTTTAAGACTGTCATTTCTTAATATTTAAATATTAAAAATAATAATTTTCTCTAATAAAATAAAACAATATGTGTTTTCTTATTTTTTTATAAGTAAGATATTTATTTATTTTTAAAATATCAGAATAGGACATCTAGTTGCTTTAAGACTGCCCTTTTCTTTGATATTAAAAAATAAATAAATAATTAAAACATTTTTCTAAAAATAATAATAGATTAATATATGTAAAATAGGATATTTATAAAATAAATAAATATTACTTATTATATATATTTATATGAAATAATAATAATACTTAATAATAATAATTAAATATATTACAAATAAAATAAAATATAAATAAATAATGACTAAAATAAATAATATTGAAATTATAGTAGTAAAATATAAAAAGTAATAAAACTTATAATTAAAATAAATGAAAATGTCTAAATTATAACATATCAAAATTAAATAATCTAATTCGCAATTAATTATTTAATATTACAGGGGCTAAGCATGCTATTTTACCTATTATTAATTTAGTGACTAAATTAAAATTATATCGAATTATAATATCAATTTAAAATAAATTAAAACATGCTCTCGGGATTAAAATAATAATAACTAAAATCATAAAGGACTAAAATAGTTATTTATCCTAAATATTGTATAAACATAGCCAATGACTAAATTATAAATTAATAAAATTAGAAGACAGATTTAAAATATTCAGAAGTATAATTTAGAGACTATTTTGTAAAGATTATAAAATCAGAGGGGCTGCAGAAAGGGTTTAACAACTTTGGAAATTACACATATGTCCTTCCCCCAAAACGACGTCGTTTGGGGGAGGGTATTTAAACCCTTTAAACGGCCCAAAATCCCCTCATCTATCTCATTTTCATTTCTTCTCTCTCTCTCTACACGAGAGAACCAGAATTCTCTGCCTTCTCTCTAGCTTCCCTCATCGGAGGGAAGCCAGTCCCGGCCGGCCACCGTATTCCGACTCCGATCGCCGTCGCCGGTCACCGTGAACGGTGGCCGGAATTCGAGAAATCACTCTCAAATATCCCTTTTTCGATCCTAAGGCCAGATATGGCATTCTTTTTACCTAAACATACCTAGATCGTCTTAGATCTAAAAAAAACCCGAAGGTTTTTTACCTTCGATTTAGTGACGATTCCGGCGACGTTTGATTTCCAGTGATGAGCGGAACCTCGAAGGTGAGTTCTTCTTTTTCTCTGCTTTTTCTTCGTTTTGGTTTTGCTGCTGGTTGTGTGGTTGTTGCTTGCTGTTTTTTGTGGACTCTTGCTCTCCGTTCTCCCTTATTTTGTAGGTTCTCCATGACTTTTATAAGCCTCGACGAGGCTCTCATCTGACCAGTCCAAAGGGGATTTTATGGTGAGTCACCAAACTATATGGTGACTCACCCCATAGCTGCGACGTGGACGGCCGGCGTGGTGTTTCTGGAGTCTTCGAAGAGGGTGGCTTCGTGGCTGCTGCTGGAATGGACCATCTGGAATCATAGGCGACAACTGTTTATCGTCGATCTAAGGCGACGGCGGCGCTGGCTGAGGCGGTTGGATGATAACCTAGGGTTAGGAAACCCTAGGGTTTCCTTTGCTAGAACCATCTGTGGACCGTTGGATCTCTCAGATCCAACGGCTGAGATCATTGGCGGCTAGGGTTGAAATGATAAAACCCTAACTAGGTTTTAGGGTTTGTTTTGGGCCGGCTCTGTTGGGCCTGATTGATTAGGTTGGTTCTGGTTATGTAAAACGGGCCTCCAATTTTTTTGCTTGTAATATTTATTACATAATAGTAATATATATAATATATAATATTAATAATAATAATAATTTTAATAATAATAATAATAATAAAACGAAATAAAAAAATTAGTGTTTACAACTGCCCCTCTTTGCTCATTCTTGTGTTAACAAGAATAGAGCAAAGACGAAAAAACAATAATTTTTTCCTTTAGCTTCTTTTGAGTAGAATGGAAATGTTGAAAACATCATGCAGTGAAGGGCTTACAGATGACCCTAAGGTTTTGAAAACATCAAAAAGCTCCCGAAGGCTTTTTGGAAACATTATGCACTGTAGGACTTACAGATGACCCTAAGGCTTTGAAAACATCAAAAAGCTCCCGAAGGCTTTTTGAAAACATCATGCACTGTTGGACTTACAGATGACCCTAAGGCTTTGAAAACATCAAAAAGCTCTCGAAGGCTTTTTGGAAACATCATGCACTGTAGGACTTACAGATGACCCTAAGGCTTTGAAAATATCAAAAAGCTCCCGAAGGCTTTTTGGAAACATCATGCACTGTAGGACTTACAGATGTGGGAAATAGTTTACTAAGTAAAAAAACTAAGAAAATCATTTTCTTACTTTTTAACAATTTCATTTTAGAAAAGATAAAATGAGAAACTATGGAAATCGTTTTCTCATTATTTTTCAAAATAACAACATCAAAAAGCTCTCGAAGGCTTTTTGGAAACATCATGCACTGTAGGACTTACAGATGACCCTAAGGCTATGAAAACATCAAAAAGCTCCCGAAGGCTTTTTGGAAACATCATGCACTGTAGGACTTACAGATGACCCTAAGGCTTTGAAAACATCAAAAAGCTCCTGAAGGCTTTTTGGAAACATCATGCACTGTAGGACTTACAGATGACCCTAAGGCTTTGAAAACATCAAAAAGCTCCCGAAGGCTTTTTGGAAACATCATGCACTGTAGGACTTACAGATGTGGGAAATATTTTACTATGTAAGAAACTATGAAAATCGTTTTCTTACTTTTCAACAATTTCATTTTTAGAAAAGATTGAATGAGAAACTATAAAAATCGTTTTCTCATTATTTTTCAAAATAACATGTTGATTGGGTAACATGACCCAATCTTAAGATAATGTTCATTCTTGTGGATTGAGTCCATCTATTCTTCAGATATTGGCGTGATTTCTGCATTCGAGGTTTTGAATTCTACCTTCTTCTTGTAAGGTATTGTTCATCATGAATCTTCTTTTTCATATGAAGATCTGCAAAACCTTATGTTTGAATGCAATCATATGTATCAATGTAATGCATTGTCTATTGTGTAAATGATATTCTTATGAATGCATGAATGTTGATGCAATCTTCATTTGACTTCAAAGTGGTGAACTAGGTCTTCCTTCACTTCATCATTTATTTACAGGGTCACCTCTGGATATCAGTGTAGCAACTTATGCTATCAAGCTTGCATTTCTGTAGAATCATCTGATCAATCTGTATCTTTGTGTCTTCTTTGCTTCATTTAAGTCTTAGAAGAAATGTTTCTTTTGTGGAACTCTTGCCGTAGTTAGAACTATGACTTTGATGCCCCATTTTGTCTTTGGTAACACCGGCTTTCTTTGTCTGGACTTGTGTAGAAATCCCATAAAGCTTTCATCTTTGAAAAGAGAATCTATCATCTTTGAAGAGTGTAGATGTAGATATGCCTGACTCAGCAGGGATTAGTTATGAGAGTAGAGTATGTTCTAATTTAACTCTTGAAACACATCACAAGGAAGATTTATCCTAATTCCTTTCATGTCTTCACATCTAATCAAATCTGGAATAAGGCAACTTGGACCATATCATGTCGAGATGTTTAACAACATCCTGTCGTTCAACATCAATTGGCTCCACTAGTTTCTTGTTGTTAAAATTTCAGCTCTCCTTTTATGGAAAGAAATCTTCATTATATCTCATTTATAATCTTGAAGTTGAATAAGACAAACTTCATCTTGTATCAATAAAGGAAAACCATATGATAACAACATTGTTTCAACACCATAATCACTGGTTCATAGAACATTTGACAACACATTCTTCATCTCCTGTGGCTTCTGCTCGAATTGCTGGTCAATGAAGCTCTTTGCATGGTGTTCAAAGTTTTTGTATGATGTCACAACACCACTTGAGAACAAAACTCAATGGGAATACAAGTGAAATACTGGTATGACCAAAACGTTGGTCAAATTCACAAAATGTGTTGGTGTCGAATTGAATAGGAGACACTAATTGTCTTGATATCATCTCGGGCAAAGGCAAGTGTGATACTGATCACGTTTTCTTCTGTAATGAGCATTGTAGAAAGTAAAAACACTTCAGCTATAGGATCCATGTACAGAAAGATATCTGTGGAATTCTTGATGTTGGGGATGAAATGTACATGATAAACCCAAAATAGATAAAAATTCAGTTCAGCCTGGCTGGTAATGATAACCCCAGTAACAGCGGGAATAATAGTAATGTAAGTGAGTCGAGTCTCCCTTTCCAATATCATCGATTAAATGAAAACTATTGTGAAAAACAGCTTCGTAATCCCAACAGTATGGTTGTAACTAACTGCCAGGAATCTCTAAGAAATATTTCCAATCATCACCGACACACAGAATACAAAATTC